ATGGTGATATAAGGATCAAGGACAGAGACTTGTTTGGCTGCAGAAAGTAAGGATTTGCAAGCTGATTTTGCTCAGCCATGGTTTCAAGAACGAAGGTTTCAAGAATAGAGGTTTAAGATTTTGGAGAGGTAAAGCTTGGCGGAAGGTGGATGGATCAACACTCTTAGATGAGCTCTGATATCATCTTGCAAATCTTGAAAGCTTTCATAATCGAATATGAGTTTATGGAAACGAATAAAACTGAATATATAGGCATGAAGCCAAAGCAACGAAAGAAGAAGAAAGAAAAAATATACACGTGATAAAGTATAACAGCCCTAAGAAAAAATCTAACCAATCAAAAACTGAATAACCAAATCAATTTTAGGAATAAATTTTTAGTGCATCAGATGCACCGAAGATTCAGTGTATCTGCCCAATTATTTTGTGATACATGGACAAAAAACATCACATCATCTGCTTCTTTTAGATGATGTGATGTTTTTGTTCACATGTCACAAAATGATCGAGCAGATGCACTAAATCTTCGGTGCATATTTGATGCACTAGAAATTTATTCCAGCTTTAGGGCCGTATGCTTTCATGCGCTTCTAACGTGGCAAGTCGCTTCATTCTTGTGCTGTTTTGGATCGAGAGAGTATGGTAAACACAAGTCATTTACTTTGATGTTTTTCCCCCACATCACTTTAGACATTTTTCCTCCAAAACCTTTACTATTCGCTAGCTTATGAGATAAAATAAAAGCCATTCAGTTCATATATATACAACCCCTGGCATATAAATTTTAAAAGCAGTTGTTATGTTCTTATCATAAATTCACATATAAGTCCCACTTTTATTAATCCAATAATTGCCAAATAGGTATTTTACATTATTGAGGGGAAATGTTGCCTTTTTACATCTTAATCAACTCTATTCTTGTTGCAAGTGATTTCTTTGTTTTCGTCCCCCACTTCAGTTTCGGTATTTTTCCTTCATGAATTTGACTTTTCGCTAGCTTATGAGATTAGGGAAGAACCAGTCTATTCATATATATACCTCCACTGATATATAATTTTTTTAATTCTTTGTTATGTTCTTATCGTAAATTCACATATAAGTCCTACTTTTGTTACTTATATTAGATCAATGATTTGTATTTACAAGTAATATTACACTATATTGTTACATAGGATAAGTGCTATTCTCAGGCCAAAAAAAAAAAAAAAAATGAAGTTGAGGAGTCCATATGAAAACTGCAGGAAAAAAAAGACAAATTCAAAATGTATATTATTAGGCTTAATCTTCACATGCTTAATAATTTTTGTCTTCATCTTAGACTTTCAAATTCAATATTAGAGTATTGGCTATAAACCAATCAGATATCTATCTCTAAGATATCTCTGAGCGCATACTCATGAAGTATCCTTATACAGTTCAACAGAACCGAACACAATTTTTTTGATATATATATGCTCTGAATGACATCAATAGGCACTGTAAATATATGGCATGATCAATCATATTCGTATTGTTTCGAAGTGTGTTATAATTTCTAGTTCTAAGAGTTGGCAGCACATAACTGATAAGATTCTGAAATGGCATCACATCAGTATCTTATCCTATGGCTATCCTTTTTTGTTAGAAAGGAATACCAAGCGTAGTGGTGTATGTTAGTGGGAGAAGAAATCAATTTCAAATTCTTAATTAGCTCATTTTTCCATGAAAAAAATAGTACGAGAAAGATAATTAGAAACATGCAATCAGATGACGTATATGCTCATTAGTTTATGAGAAGAGAATCCACAAATGTTATTCGTATATCAGTTGAAATGAGAGAATATTCCTTATATGTATTAGTCAATGGTGCTCAAATTTGACATAAGGGCCTAAAGTGAACATTTTTACTTAGTACTTTATCATTGAATTCTTGACACAAATCTAATAATGGTGATAGAATTATCTCCAATTTAGCATTGACTAATTGAAGAAGTTATCAAGTCTGTGATATCTGCCCTATGAACATTTATAATGACATCTATAATGGTGCTTGATCGATAAGATATTTTCTCCTCCGTTTTTTTTATCTCTCATAATGGATACATTTTTTGTCAAAAGCCGTCGAATATTCTATTCACTTTCTACAGAATGAAGACCTGTTGGTGCATTGCTTGCAAGCTAGGGTGTATGATAGCTTAGCAAGAAAATTTGTTGCGATCTTTGAAGTGACCTTATTCAGAATTTTAGTTACGATCTCATCGGAGATTGAGTTACACATGCAAATCGCATTTGCATCACTCGCACAGTTTTAGTTAAGATCTCCTACGCAAGAGACTTAACATTAAAATTTGTGAAAGCCATAAATGGAGTTGCATTTGATTTTTTTAAGGATGATTTGTTAAAATTTGAGTTATTTCAACACTTTTTTTAAGGATGATTTTTTTTTTTTCTAAAAAATGAAATTGATGAAAAATATAAGGAAAAAATGTTTCTACATGTATCGATAAGTTATCTGTATTTATTCCCAAAATGACGTCGTTTTGGTATTGAAATCTTAAAGAATTATAAATATAAAGACTATTATAACCCTGAAATAAATTAAAATTAAAAAAATACCATGATTTTCGCTCTTAAAATGACGTCGTATTGAACTTATTGCAGATAACTTATCTACAGTAACGGCAGAAAAAACAAACTTAAAATATAAACTATAAAATAAAAAAGGATTGGATAAAATGATGCAATGAATTAAGATTTTATATGATCCCAAAGCTCTCTCTTAGACTAAAGAAAATTTTACATAAAAGTAATAGTTCCTCTAACACTATATTGATAATATGGGTATAAAATAAGAGTATGTAAAATGAGGATGTTAAAGTAATATATTACTGTACAAGTATGATAAGATAAGAATCAAAGATATTCAATGAAAATTTATAGTAATAATAGTGAAAAAAATTATAACTTGAGATGATTTGAGAAATTTTTTATATATTTTTTATTTTGTATTTATTATTTTTCCCTCAAATTTATGTTTATTTTATTTATTTATTTGGATTTATCGACCATGGCCTCCAATTAGTTTTGTTATATGAGATGTTGATTTAATTTTTTTAAAAAGTTGAAAATTTAAAGTGCACATGGAGTTTAAATTTTCTGCAGTTCAAGGAAGGGAGGGCCAAGACACACAACCTTGTGGGCCTTACCCGAGCAAGGATAGGAAGAATGGAAGGTACGAGAGTTTCCAAAATGGGCTTGTAATTGGTATCATATCATCAGTAAAGTAAATTGATGGTCTTTTCCCAATCGAATGACCATTACGAGAAGAAAAAAAAAGTTTAGGCCAAAAAAAAAAAAAAAAAAAGACACGAACAATAATTTTAAGAGAAAAATATTTCTGCAGTTAATGCAGATAAGTTATCTATATTTATTCTTTGAACGACGTCGTTTTGGTATTGAAATCTGAAAAAATTATAAATATAAAGACTATTATAACCCTGAAATAAATTAAAATTACAAAAATACCATGATTTCCGTCCCAAAACGACGTCGTATTGGCTTACTGCAGAAAAAGCGAACCTAATTTTAAAACAGGAACAATAATGGGCTTTGGAGTCATCATGCCATGACTAATTTTTTTTTTTCCTAAAAAAAACAAGTTAAATAATAATAATAATAAAAGTTAAAGAGGCATAATATGCAATGACTTTATCTTGTATGTAGCAGTTGCATGACACTAATTTTGTACATGCAACATGAATCATATTTATCCCAATAATAATTGAAAAAAATGTTTCTCATCATTCTACTTTTCTTTGTCTTTTTTTGGGGCTTTTGCCCCTCTAATGTACAAAAAAAAAAAAAAAAAAAAGTTTCTCATAAGATAAAGTTATCTTCAAAATAACTCTAGACTATATCATTTTGGGGATTGAAAGGATTTATAAAGATCATTTTAAAAAGTTTATTTGTTTCTTTATTATATGAATTTTTTTTAAATATGTTCTATTAACTTCCCAACACATAAAATAACTTAGTTTTATAATTGTTGGAGATAACTTTTTCTCTATTGATAAGACAAACAATAAACCCATAATAATTATTAATATTACAAAGCGAACGAGACCAAAAACTAACAATAAAATTGCCTTTCCAGAAATAAATAAAAGTAAAACATTATCAATGTAATACATTAAAAAATTTATTTTAATTGATAATATTTATTTTATTAATAACAAACAATCAAATCAAAATATGGAATTAATTTTTTTAATTTTAAAAATATAAAAAATTCATATACATGATAATTGATTACTTTGCAGATGATTTGTAAACATCTCATTGAACAAATGTGAACATTGATTGAAAAAATAAGAAAAATTTCTATCTTCTGAAGAAATAACTAATTAAAGAGAAAAAAAAAATTGATTTTATTTAAGACCTCAGAAGACATGTGCCACATAAAAAATAAAATGAAAATACACGACTATGTAAAAAGGAAGACATATATAAAATTATTCTACTCGTAAATATAAAAACTCAATTTCAAGATACAAAAATGGATATTTTGATTAAACAAATCATTTGATGCATAAATCCATTAATTCACCTCCTCAATTAAGTTAATTTAGTAGTATTAAAAAAGGAAAAAATATTTATCCTTTTAAAAAAAATTATGTTAATTAAAATTACTTTAATTTAATATTTAAAAAAAAAATCTCTCCCTTTCTTTCATTATGATTTTTATTGTATAGCTATTTCTTTATCATAAAATACAATAATTTTTATTAAAATAACACAGTTCTATATTTTTTTAAAAGCACGAGTTTGAGTCCTGGGTATGAAAAAAATGGATTGGGTAGTGCTACCCCTGCAAGGAACCGACAATGCACGGTTAGAATTAGTGACACCCCAAAAGGGTGGGATACCCTTGAGTACACTAAAAAAAAAGGCACTAACACTGATCCTATTAAAAAAAACAATTGAGTAAAAAACTTTAAAGCATCCCCAGGCCCATATGCCGTTCGCCCCAACCTTATTTTTTTGTATCGATTGATTAATTTATATCTTATTACAGTCAACAGCTAACATGGGATTTAAGGATGTTGCTGTTCTAAACATTTGGGTTGCATCAAGCATCCTATCCTAGATATGTGATTGTGATCTTTGTCTTTGAACAACATCCATAAGAAAAAATAAAATAAAAAAAAGCAACCACGAAAAATCTGAACTTTCAAAAGCAATACCCTTTTGTCTTTTTGGGTTTTTTTTTTTTCTGTGTGCTTTAATGGGAAAATCACTTGAATCTGCGGCTAGGCTGCAAGAGTTATCGCGGATTGTATCATCTGCAAAACCCCATAAGCCAAAGGGAACACAACCCAGATCCGCGAACCGCGTGGCCACCCCACGGACAACGAAATCGTGTTCTGTTAAGGTTGAATCTCCGAAAAAGATGGAAACTTTGGGAGGGGAGCAATGTCGGACACCCCTCGCCAAGGTGGTCGCCGATTGCTCCAAGCGGTGGTTCCAAGACACGCTCAAGGAGGCCAAGGCTGGGGACGCCGCCATGCAGGTTCTCGTTGGCCAAATGTATTACAGTGGCTATGGTGTTCCAAGAGATCCTCAAAAGGTCAATTTTTTTTTACCTATGTTTGTTTTTATAGCAGCATAATTACACCCTTTGTAATGTGTATGATCATTGATATAAGTACATATTTCTGGTAGGTAATTGTTCACTCCTTGGACATGAAACTGAGGTAGAGTGTAGGGAAGTTGTAAAATTTTCTTCTGACTTTTTTTTTTTTAATTTAAACTCCCCTTTCTTATGTTATTGTTTTTATCAGATTGTTATTATTATTTTTATTTTTTAATATGCATAAATTCAATTGTGTGTTTTGAATTCGATATTGTGTTTGTAATTGCTTTGAGGGACGGGGCATTGACATTGCAGGGCTTCTGAATCTTGCTCAATTGACAATCAAGATAGACAGTTGCAGTTAATTTGAATCTGTGTAATTTGTATTCTGTTTCCTGCTCGTGAACTTCTGGTTACTGATTATGAGATTACAAACTTTGTTTATAGGGAAATGCTTGGATTAGTAAAGCATCAAGAAGTCGAAATTCAGTTTGGAAAGTAAGCGATAAACATCCAGGTAATCTCTATCTTTTGTTGGATTAATAAATTGCGGCTTTATTTGTCCTCATTGATCTTTATTTTGTGGACACTCAGGTTACAGAGCAAGTGATTCAGATTCATGCGAACTGGAGAGCAAAACTAAATCTTCTCCTTAGTTTGCAAGTATAGGGGTAATGATTAGACTTCACCATTCACCAATGCTCTAATTTTATTTTTATTTTTTAATTATTATGAGATTGAATTTCAATTGTATGATATAGTATATGATAACTCAATTGTCACAAGTGCTAGTTCTTTTCTATTAAAACATCAACAACATAAGTCAAATCTTGTTAACTGACAATTCCCCCCCCCCCCCTACTTTTGTGGTGTCTCTTCTTTCGAATGTTGTTGTTGTGTTGTTCATTTTCGGGAAATTGTTGTAATATAATAACTTAGGGTTTCTCGTTTCTGTTGTCGCTGCAGATGAGAAAAGTTGCAGCAAACATATTAACACTAGGATATAGAGTTGTATCCTAAAAAAAAAAAAATACCAGGATACGGAACCGTATCCTAGTGGAAATAAGTGTTGCTGCAAATTTTCCCATCTGCAGCGATAGAAGAGCTATTAAAGCCAATACTTAAAACATCAAGTGTATGCCTTATTATATAGCCTATTTTTTTTTTTTTTTTTGATAACATTATATAGCCTATTTATTATGCCTAGTTGAGGATTTTCTTTTTTTTTTTCTTAGAGCTGCAAATTGATGTCTCATTTACAATGTTCTCAGTATTGACCACCCTGCATGTAGGACTTTGAGAGTAACTCTTGTACTATGATTTTCATCTATACTTCCCAATTCTTTGGAAGATCATAGCTACAACTACAAATGTTATTTAGGTGTTGCGGAAATCAGTGTGATAAGTTGCTTTATACTAACTAGCAGTATGATGGGTATCGCTGTGTATTCAGCATGATAAGCTGCAATCAATATGATCAGTACCATAAGTCTTGAATGGTAATCAGGCAGCTGGGCGATGACATCTAGTTTAGGTGTCTTATGTGTAAGTCAATTAATAGGATTTCAAAGTGTATTTAGCGACCCTAATAAGTAAGACTGATCACACTGCACTAATCGCAGCATTTTTTAGCACAAACTGGAATGATGTTGGAGTGTATTTCCCTGAAGGAATGTGAAAGATGATGATTGAAGAATTTACCATCATGACATATAATTGTTTGTGATAAGTGATTACAAATGCATAATCACTTTTGGGGTTTGGTTGCAAAAATAGCAAGCTTGCATGTTATCATGGTTGTTCTAATGGATTACAGGATCAGGGCCTGCTCATTAGAATCTAGTGAAGTCTAGGTTTCAATGGGCTTTACCTCTTCTTCTGCTATTGCCTTTTCTCATACTATTACTTTTCAATTTCATCTCTAGGCAGCATTCTCCTAGACTCCTATTATGCTTATCTCTTATAAAGCAAAGAGCTCTTTGGAAGCAATTTTTTCACCTGACATAAGATTCTTAATTTTCTTGGTTGGTGACTTGTTGGGCTCAACGATTTGGTATTCTTTGTTTTTATGATATGCAGCCTGATTTTATATTTCTAATGCATACTGTATTTCTTACATTGCTCTCTCCCATTTTTTTCAAATTCTAAGTATTTGTACTCCTACTTTTGTTTCTGCACAAATGTAATCATGGTCTTTGATGTGTTTCATTTTTATTTTATTTTTTTAAACAGAGTTGTATCCTTGACTCTCTTCTCCTTATCTTTGGTGGTACTGCATTCAATAGGCATTACTACCTTGGTGGTGTGTTCGGAATCCTTGAATGACTTGTATTTGCTGCATCGTGCAGTTATTTTAGATGCATGTCCCTTTTTAAGATACAAGATAACTTTGTCTTCTTTCAACTTTTTAATATAGGAACTTAATTTTGTTTTTCTTTGAGCCCAAGTGTTGGGGCAAATAGTTTTATTGAATGTTTAAATCAACTTTGTTTAAATATACAGCTGATCGAAATACATGTAATTTGTTAACTTAATGATACATTAATGTTGTTGATTTAATGATACATTAATGTGAAAAGAATGACGATCCCATTTGTGCGTTTATCCCTAGGATTTGCGGATAAACTCAAATGTTCTGTTGGCGCTGTGGTAAGTACTTAACTTGATTTTGGAATATTTGCAAACGAACAATTTTAATGAAATTTTTCAATTTTTTATTTTATTATGTCCAACTTTAGGCATTGTACAGAAATAAAAATAATAGAGTTTATATTATTTGTATTGACAATTACTCTAGGAGAAGTATTTTTATGCGGTGTTAACTTAATAACCGTCTTTGTAACTCCATATAATGTTTAAGTATCATCTGTCTTTTAGTAAAAAAGTTAAATTAAAACTTTTAAAAAGTTTATTCGATTAAATAGGATAAGTTTAAGACTGTTAAAGAAGTTTTTTAAATTCAGTAGACAGCCCCTCTCTCTATTTTAATTATTTCCTTTTGTAATAATAGTCTATAATGAAATTTATAAGATTTCTTAAAAATTCCGGTAGTGATCCTCAACAACACAAATGCCATGCTCCTTATTTCCCTATCTAATTTTTCATCAAGAATATTAAAAAAAATAAGAGAATAAAAAATAAAGAAAATATCATTCATTGATGCTGAATATTAACAACATCATGCACACACTATCATCCATCAAAATATATTGAAAAAATAAACAAAAGTTTGACAAGAATGTTATTTTTTGGGGCCATTTTTTAAACTCTCTGCTAGTACCGTATTCCATTATCATAAGAAGATAAGCGTCAAGCGAGATATTAAGCTATCACTAACTAGACCCTAGCTTTGTTTTATGTTTAAAAATAGGTGAGGCCTATTTAAAAATTAATTTCTATTTCTATAAAGTATAAACTATCCAAATTGCCAAATATATATTTTACATAATTGTGGAAAATATTCTCATTTCACATTTGACTATTTGAGGCAAGTTATTATTTTCTTTAATCAGCCCATATTTACACAATCATCATTAAAGAACATTAAATGAAAAGGTCGTGACACCTAACCTAGTCCTTTCTGAAAACGACAAACCATAAACTTAACAATAAAAAAAGCCCAATCAGCCTTTAGTTTATGCAGTTGTTTTATTTTAGATTGAGTTGAATTGTTGTCTTATATTAATTTTCTAATTAATATTCCATCTTCTCCTTTATATAAGCCCCTCTTTCTCCCAGATTTTCTTCTACTCTCTTACTCTCACTCACTCTAAGTTTAAGTTCAGGTTCCTCTCACCTTCTTCTCTCGCCAATTTACTTGTCTCTTTTCACAGTTCTAGATTGTAACAGGGGTTTGCATTGTCATTTAACATGACACAACAAACTTTCCTACACACATAATATTTTTTGGGACTAACACTTTTTGAAGAAAAAAGAAAAAAGAAATTACGACACGCAAAACGAATCTCTATAACATTACAGAATCACTTTTCCTACAACATAACTCTTATAAAACCCATTCTAATATTATCCTTCTTGGCTTTTACTTTTATAAAATTTCATGGCAAGGTGGGCACCGGATACCACAGCTTCGAAAGCTCTTAGGTAGTGTTTGGTTCAGGAGAAATTTTTTTTTACTAGGAAAATGTAATTGATAGGGAAATGGAAGGAAAGTAAGTTTGGTAGGAAAGTTTAAAAAAAGTTGTTTGGTACCGCACAATATTGATGGGAAAATTGGGTTAAAAATTCTGATGTATGTTTGGTTGAAAATAGAAAATAGATGGGAAAAAAAGTTAAAACTACAAAAGTAACCTTTTTTATAAAATTTTAAAATGTTAACACATATTTTTGAGTACGCTTCCACATGTGCTAACAAGATTCCATAACCCAGCAACTTGTTTTCAGACGCCCTTTGTCCTCTCTCCACGCAGCAACCGTCAGCGTCACACGGTGAGTGAGCTTCTGGTGTGAGTAAGATCGTTCTCAGTTGATTGTTGAGGGATTGGCAGAAGCTCTAAGCTGCTCAAAATAGAGAACCTGTACTACAACTCGAAGTGGAAGGCGTTCATTCTGTGCAGCATCCATCGATGCATCCACTGTCAATTTCTTCACATCCATCACTCCACATATCTTCTTCCTACTTTCAGCTTTTGTCAAACTTGGGTGCTCCTGAAAAATGAAAGACTATAGTTAAGAGAAGGGGTAAATTTGTCACATTTTTCATCCCTTTTTCCATTTAGCCGGTTTTCACAACAATACCACCGTGGGAGAAGGCTTCCTGAACAGTGAAATTGATCCTTGTTTACACACATGTGTCAATAGCTGGGGAACTCAGTTTGATGGATAAATTTCAGGTTTTCTTCAACCAAACGTGGAGAAATGGGAAACCCACTTCCACTTCCCTGGGATAATGACCAGAAGTCCCGAACCAAACACTGCCTTAGGTTGTGTTTGGTTGAGGATATCTCATTGGATAAAAGCCAATTGGAAATGTAGCTTAACCATGTTTGGTTGTCCCACTTTCATCATTTGCCTACCTAAACTACTACCCCATCAAACTCATTTGCATGTCAAACTCTCCAATAATGAAGGCAATATATTCCCAATTGTGATGTTGTATTTTGAGTTCCCTAGGTAAATAGCACCAAAAGTAAGAATGGAAATTACTATCATACCAAACTATTTAAAGGTAAAAGGGTATCATATGTGATTCAAAATACTTAAAAATAAGGGGTATTTTGGTAATTGCAACTCATTTTCCCATCAATATTTTAACTCAAATCAAACATAAACTTTATAATATTTACCAAATTTTCTCGGTAAATTTTTTTTCAATCAAACTTTTTTTACATTTTCCTAACAAACTCACTTTCCAACTTTTTTTTTTCTAGTAATTACATTTCTCTAATATTCAATAAATTTCTCCTCAACCAAACGCCCCTGGTGGGATAGTGTAGCTTGGAGAAGCAATCATTGAAATTCCAATCCAGCCAATACTATGTTATTTTAGGCTATCCCATCGTAAGAGTTTTGAAGCTTTGGTATCCATTTACTGCCCACAGATGAAATTTTATAAAAGTAAAAGCCAAGTAGTAATCACAGTGAAGGGCAGTCATTGGTTCAGGATTTGACTGTATGGATATGCCAACGTGAGAATCGCAAGGCCATCCAAGTTAGAGGTCCTGATTTAATGTTGGTTGTTCAGTATTTTTATTTTTATTTTATTTATTTTATACTTTACATAGTCATTGATTGACATCACTTGATCGTTTGATGTAGGCATATTAAATATTGCTACACTGGAGGATATTGCTCGTAATCTGAGGATAAAGACACTATGAAGAATATAAATTTACTATGTGTGAAAGGAATGATACGGTGTAATGACATCTCAGAATTCAGCTGTCATTCTCAAGCAAAACCATGTAAAATATAGTAATAATATCAACAACTCAATTAACATAAATTGGTCACAATTTGATGAAATTGGAGAGATCACCTGGGGAAGGCTGTGTACTTCTTAAAAGATCCTTTGATTTCATGTTGTGAATTACTTACTGTTGTGACCAATTTATGTTAATTGAGTTGTTGATATTATTACTATATTTTACATGGTTTTGCTTGAGAATGCCAGCTGAATTCTGAGATGTCATTATACCATATCATTCCTTTCACACATAGTAAATTTATAGTCTTCATGATGGTTCTGCATTAATTCAATAAGCATAATTGCCTTATTGGTTTGTTCGAAATCCTTGAATGAGTTATATTTGCTGCATCACGCTCCTTATTTTAGATGCATGTCTCTTTCAAAGATGAGATAAGTTATTCTACCTACCTTTGCCTACTACTAGAATCTCAATAGGGAAAATAAATAATAAATATAGTCGAAATTCTGATCGTTGAAGAGTGGTAGGCAGAAAAAATGATAGGTAGAATAATCTATCCCTTTAGAGATACAAGAAAACTTTGTCTTCTTTCAACTTTTTAACAGAGAAACTTAGTTCCGTTTTTGAGTCCAAGTGTTGCGGCAAATAGTTGTATAGAATGTTTAAATCAACTTTGTTAAATATACAGCTGATCGAAATACACTTTTTTTTTCTTTTTTTTTTGGGTACATAAATACACTTAATTTGTTAACTTAATGATACATTAATGTTGTTAATTTGTTGAAAAGAACGCCGATCCCATTTGTGCATTTATCCCTAGCATTTGGGGATAAACTCAATATTCTTTTGGGCTTTCGGTGGGCACTGTACTTGATTTTGGAATATGTTATAAAGCTCCTCGTTGATCCTCTATCAATTGCGATATGTTATATATAGCATCAATTCCTTATTTTAAATTTAAAAACTAAATGAGAGACTTGTACAATAATAAGTTGGGAAGGCTAGGAAATTTTTGCTTTTCTAATTTGCAAGTGGGGCATTTGCTGCCTTCATGTTCTAACTTAAGGGAAAGTATTACGGATAATGTAAATAATTTCTATTTTGATACTTTTATTTGATAGTTACTTAGTTATAATGAGTTAATAAAAGTCTGACTTAATAAATGTCTCTTCAATAATAAAAAAAACTTTTATTTAACATAATTTTCAATAATAACTTTGTAAAAACCTGACTTAAATTTTTTTTGTTTGTTAATGAAGCATTTCCACAATTACATACTCCAAAGAAAATATTGAAGCGAGTACCATGTTGTTTAGCAGCTTATATATGCATTATGAGTTTAGCGTGTGTAGTTTGAAAGGTTATAAATTGCGTTCTTTTAATGACTTATATAATATATATTAAAGGAAGTTACAATTGAATGAATAACCTATTTCATTAATATTGTACAAGTCTTTTAAATAGACTTTATGAAACCAAAGTAACGTACATGGAATGGAAGCTGTTGCAGAAATTTACGTACACCTAACATAACAAACCTAAAAATAATGGATGTTACACTAGTAAATCCTAAAATAAAGGAAAACAAATAATACAAGTTTACACCAGAAAATAATAACAAACTAAGTTGTTTACTGTTATCCTAATACTCCCCCTCAAGTTGGAGCATGTAAGGATGAAATGTCCAACTTGGATAATAGGAATTCAAATTGTTTTCTGCCAAGAGCTTTTGTGAGGATGTCTACAGGTTGAGAAGAAGTAGGGATATGCTCAGTGCAAATAGTTTTCGACATGATATGCTCTCTAACAAAATGACAATCCAGTTCTATGTGTTTTGTACGCTCATGAAAAACTGGATTAGATGCGATATGAATGACAGATTTACTATCACAGTATAGGCGCATGGGCATGGGATGAGCAATTCCAAGATCTTGCAGGAAAGCTTTAATCCATAATAATTCAGATGTAGCAGCAGCCATGGATCTATATTCAGCTTCTGCAGAGGAACGAGAAATTGTGTGTTGCTTCTTTGATTTCCATGCAATTGGAGAGTTACCAAGTTTAACAAAATAACCAGTAATGGATCTTCTAGTAACTGGACAACTCGCCCAATCAGAGTCACAAAATGCCCGAAGATGAAGATCAGAGTTTGATTGTAAGAGAAGGCCTTGACCAGGATTCCCTTTGATGTAACGCAAAACTCGCAACACAGCATCATAATGTTCTTGTAGAGGATGTTGGAGAAATTGAGCAAGTGTGTGAACCGCGTAACTCAGTTCAGGTCGTTTAATTGTAAGATAAACGAGACGACCAACAAGGCGCCTGTAACGAGTAGGATCTTCATATGCTGGTCCATCCGCAAGCGCCAATTTATGATTCTGATCCATAAGAAATTCAGCTGGTTTGCATCCTAGTAAACCACATTCACTCAAAATATCCATTGCAAATTTTCTTTGACTAAGAAATAAACCAGATGAGCTGCGAGCAAATTCAATACCTAGAAAATATTTAATTTTTCCAAGGTCTTTAATTTTGAACCAAGACTGCAAATGAAGCTTTACTCGATCACAAACAGAAGTATTATTACCAGCCAAAATAATATCATCCACATAAATTAAAACAGCAACAAAGTTGTGATCCAGAGTAAAAGTAAATAACGTATAATCTGCCTTGGATTGCTTGAAACCGAAACTAAGAAGAGAATCACGAAGTTTGGCAAACCAATTACGTGGTGATTGTTTAAGACCGTAGAGAGATCTTTGAAGTTTACATGCAGTGCCAGGAGCTCCATTAGAAAAGCCAGGAGGAAAGCGCATATACACTTCCTCTTCAAGGTCACCATGGAGAAATGCATTTTGAACGTCCAATTGATAAATATTCCATTCTTTTGCAACAGCAACAGAAAGAAAGGTACGTATGCTTACCATTTTGGCAACCGGAGCAAATGTTTCAGTATAATCTTCTCCTTCAGTTTGATTGTTCCCAGCAATAACCAGTCTAGCCTTGTATCTTTCTATAGAACCATCTGAGTTATATTTGATGCGAAAAACCCATTTGCAAGGGATTGCTTTCTTATCATAAGGAAGATGAGCAACAACCCATGTGCGGTTTTCCTCAAGTGCCTGAATTTCAAGCTGCATAGCCTTCTGCCAATTCGGATTCTTTATTGCCTCCTTGAATGAACGCGGTTCAATAGAACTACTAACAGCTGCCAAATTTTTTTGATGCTTTGAAGAAAATACATGATTAGTAGCATATTTTTCAATAGGATAGACCATACCTGAGGAGACATTGGAGAGAGAGTTGACAGAAGGGGGTGTAGTTGCTATGTGACATTGATAATCCTTAAGATATGCTGGTGGACGATGGAGCCTTTTAGGTCGAGCTGGAGATACTGGCGGAGGGGAAGAAGACTCACTCGAAGAAGGCGAACTCCCCCTGATGTTCGACGTCTGAAACGGACTGTTGTGCGACGTCTGAAGTGATGAATTTTCGACGTCATGCAACGCTGGAGCAGGTGCAGTTTCATCTTCCAGAGGTGGGGCAAGTGCAGTTTCAATGGAGTCTGATGCAACTAAAACAACAGGTGAGGAGATAGGTTGCGACACAACTTGAGTTTCTTTTATTGCAAATGGAAAAATATCCTCAAAGAACTGAACGTCAGGAGAGACAAAGATCTCCTTTGTATGTAAATCAAACATTTTCCAGCCCTTCTTATTTGGAGGGTAACCCACAAATGCACATTTACGGGAGCGTGCAGCAAACTTACCAGGAGGTTTGGGTAGGACCGTGGCATAGCATAAGCAACCCAGAATTCTAATATGATCATACATTGGTGAAGTATTATGTAAAAGTTCATACAGACATTTACCACCAAGGAGAGTAGTAGGAGTCCTATTAATCAAATGAGCAGCTGTAAGAACACATTCACCCCATAATGTAAGAGGAAGAGAACCGTCAAACCGCAATGCACGTGCAACGTTGAGTATGTGACGATGACGTCTTTCAACTCTGCCGTTTTGTTGCGGTGTATAGGCACAAGAGAACTGTTGTAAAATTCCACGATTTTAAAAAAAAATTCGAAGAGCAGAAGAGAGGAATTCAGTTCCGTTGTCAGTTTGAACCTTTTTAATGGTATAATTGTACTGAGTTTGCACCATTGTAGTGAACTTGATTAAAGTAGAACATGCTTTATGCTTTTCACGCAGTAGATAAATCCATACATAGCGGCTAAAATCATCCACGATGGTAATAAAATAATGTGCACCACAAGATGAAACAGTTCTATATGGCCCCCATTAGTCACAATGTATTAAATCAAAAGGTTGCAAACTCTGCTTTTTATTAATAGGAAAAGAGGAACGAGTCTGTTTGGCTTTACAACAAATATCGCAAGAAGCCAATTTATTTGAACAAGAAACAAATGGAAGCAAGCCTAAATAATTCCTGGAGGGATGCCCCAATCTTCGATGCCACACGTCAGAAGAAGACTCTCCATGAACTTTATTTGCAGAAACAATTTGTTGAAGCACATACACCCCTTCATGTTCAACACCCTTGTCAATCGTCTTCCTCGTCTGTAGGTCCTGTAATATACAAGTAGAATCAGTGAATAAAGCAATGCATTGGTTGCAGTGGATGAGTTGAGATATAGAGAGTAAATTGCATGTGAGAGATGGCACATATAAAACATTTGTAAGTAACAATGTAGAAGATAATCGCACGTCCCCACACTGGGTTGCTAGTGTACGAGTTCCATTTGGTAATCCGACGGAACAAGGGGAAATAACGTGAATATTATGAAAGAAGAAGATGGTGCCACTCATATGTTGTAAAGAACCTTGGGATACACCACCCCAAAAGCTAGCTCAAAGGATGAGAGTGTCCAAGACCTTATAAAGGCCACATTAGTTGCACATACAACCAATGTGGGACTATATATCTCAACACGCCTCCTCACACGAGAGCCCATTGGGCTTGAAGAGTGGAATATGCAACAGGCCCAGCCTACATGTGCTAAGAAAGTCCACAAGAGAAAGTTGGGGGGGAGGGGGGGGGCGATGCTTTGATACCATAAAGGAAGTTAAAATTGAATGAATAACCTATTTCATTAATTTTGTACAAGTCTTTTAAATAGACTTTATGAAACCAAAGTAACATACATGGAATGGAAGCTGTTGCAGAAATTTACGTACACCTAACATAACAAACCTAGAAATAATGGATGTTACACTAGTAAATCCTAAAATAAAGGAAAACAAATAATACAAGTTTACACCAGAAAATAATAACAAACTAAGTTTTTTACTGTTATCCTAATATATATGAGGGATAGGATATTGTGACACCCAAGTTATGTTACACCTATGTGACACCCAGTCAATCTCACCGTTAGATCGCTTATGTTGATCCAACGATTATATTTATTTTCATCTTTGTATGGTCATGATTTCCCAAATTTAATATTTTATATTTATTTCTACCTTTGTATGATTATGATTTCCCATATTTAATGCTTTCACTCTAAATTTGGGAAATCATGACCATACAAAGATGAAAATAAATATAACCGTTGGATCAACATAAGCGATCTAACGGTGAGATTGACTGGGTGTTACATGGGTGTAACATAACTTGGGTGTCACAATATCCTATCCCTATATATGATTAGTCATACTTTGTGTATATCTGAAAAGCTATTTTTTTTTTTCATTTTACACGTCACCGATATGATTGGGGAGAGAGAAAAAAATAACTTTTTCAAATTTATACAAAATATAACCAGTTATATTTATGTAAATTACCTAAAAGAACATAAGCTTTTGTCTTTTAAAATGATAGTTTTTTCTCTCTTACATCATTCGAATAATATCGCGTGATTTGATGATGATGTAAGCTAGTATTTTTTATTTTTATTAAGGGAACGTTTGGTAGAGGAAATAATTTTTTTCATTAGGAAAAGTTTTTTGTTGGAAACATAGTAGAAAAATTTTATTGCTAGATAAGATAAAAAAAAGTGTTTGGTATGCCAAAATTTATTGCCGGATAAGATAAGAAAATGTGTGTTAACTTTAGGCAAGTTTTTTTACCACACATTGAATGGTAAAATTTTATAATGAGATCATGTGTAAAACATGTTTCCCAACCAAAAAATTTTGCTATTCATTTTTTTTTTACTCCTACTAAACATGCCTACACTATTTTACTCACTCCACTTTCCTGGATAATTTTCTTTTTCCTCCTACAAAACACCCCTAAATCTTCATATCTTTGTTCACTTGCTTTAGGGATAAAGTTTCTCCTTTTCTTGCAGAAAGAAAAAGCTTCCACAATTCACGTTAAGAATCCAATTCCGTCTTCGTCACCTTATTTTTATTATATAAATATTTGCTCCATTTCACGCAGTTCAAGAAAATCATTAGAAGAACCTTTTTTTTTTTTTTTTTTTCCTTTTTCTTTATCTTACACCATTCCTCTTAGTTGAAGTTTACTCCTCTTCTCTGTTTTCCCACATATATCATCAATCAGACATGGCGAATGTAAGAACCAAACACAAACCCCACCTTTTATTTGATTTTTTGTTTTTCAGCTATGGGACTGAAAAGTTTCTTCTTGTGTATCAGGTGGTGGAAGTGAAAGTTGGTTTGCACTGTGACGAGTGTATCAAGAAAATCCTCAAGGCCATCAAGAAAATTGAAGGTTGTTAATTTTTCCCAGAGACCAAAATAATAAAAACTTTTTTTGTTTTTTTTGTTTTGTTATTTATTTGCTACAATACCATATGACCCGTGTAACTCTTAAACAATTACAATTTCTTTGATTTCCTTGATTAATTTAGAACCTGTGTCCTTGCAGATATTGAAACGTATAACGTGGAGACAGAACTGAACAAGGTCATCGTTACGGGTAACGTCACAACAGAAGAAGTGATCAGAGTCCTTCATAAGATTGGAAAGAACGCAACTCCCTGGGAAGATACTCAAACCAAGAAGTGAAGTTTAATGTAGCATACAACTTTCCTTTTTCTCAAAACAATCATATAACTTATGGTAATGTATGCTAAGGTTCAATTATCTATTAATAATGTAATTATATCTATCTCAGTTTTGTAATTCTTGAACTTCATCCGAATAAATTATCGCAGCTGGTATTTTATTTTTTTTATTTTTTTTGTGAAAGTAAATTTTTTTTCTTATTTAGGAACCATTGGATGTGATGGGGGTGATGAAAATTGTTGAGAAATATAGTCCCACATTGGTTGTATGAACAACTAATGTGAGGTTTATAAGGCCTTGGGCACTCCCACCTTTAGCTAGCTTTTGGGATGATGACCTCAAGATTCTTAACATGGTATCATAGCGTTCGAAATCTCATCGCCTCTCACTTTCTTTGTAGTGAAATTTCCACATGTAGGTGGACTTGTATGTTATTCACCCTTCAAGCCCAGTGAACTCTTGTGCGAGGGGGCGTGTTGAGAAATGTAGTCCACGTTGGTTGTATGGACAACTAATGTAATAAGAGTTTATGCTAAATTCAGTTTATGTAACACAAGGGGGAAAGGGGGGATAAAAATGAAAAAAGCGACAAGAGAGCAAGAGCAGCACCACGAAAATGGAAATGAATCTTAAGAAGGCAAAAGGCTAAAGTCATAGTCTCTTACTTTTACTTGGAAACTGCCTTCAACATTGGAGACTTGAGACTGTGGATGATCTTCACCCATGACCATGCTGCAAACAAGGTTACACTTACACGTCATTTATGTCTTCTTACTCTTAAGTGTCCTCACTTAATAAGTGACCGACCCAGATAATCTAGCTCAAGTCAGCGTGGCGAAACTTTCGCATTTTGACAAGCAACGTACATTGAATAATTTTTCAATTTTACATAATTTTGTGGGTTTGCTTAAAGTTCTCTAGTTACTATTTATTTGTATCCTCCAACGTTGTACAAATATAGGCTTTCACTTTGCAAGTTAGTGAGCGGCTGCTATCCTTACTCGAAGGCCAAACCGTTACATTAAATACATCAAAACCAAAATACAAGGTCAGCCTCTTATTATTCCTTTGTCTCTCTATCTACACTTCAATAGTTTAGATCACTGTTATCCTTCCTTTTTCCTCATCCTCTTCTTCTCCTCCTCAAGGAAAAGTGCAGTCAACAATTAACACAATAAACAAGCTTTATTTTTTCACCCTTCAATTGCTCCTTTACATTCACATACATGGACCCTGTATCTAGAAACATGACAATGATATGCCAAGATCCCCATAGCTCTAATCACAAGGATATCTGGCACTGGGGAAACCCTCTCGATTCCCCCACTCCCGTTCTCTTTATGCAGGTTTCTTTGATTACCATAGTCACACAGATCATGGATGTTTGTCTCAAGCCCCTAGGACAATCCTCCCTTGTTTCCCAGATTCTTGTAAGCTTTGTCTAAGTTATATTTTACAAGTGTGTTCAATGACCGTCATTGGTATATTGCTTAAAATGCTATATGGAAATGTAATTCTAGATAGAACACTAATAAGTAACAACAAACTACAAGAGAAATTCTTGAAATATTATAACAAATTTGATGGCGAACTGGAGCAGTGTGGTAAAGCTGTTCTTTCATGACTGAAAGGTCATGAGTTCGAATCCAGGAAACAACCTCTTTGTAATTATGCAAAGGTAAGGCTGCGTACAAGAATTGCTTCCACCCCATACTCTTTAGTTGGGTTTAACTGGGAGTGATTTAATTATAACAAATTTGATGGTCCAAATAACAATGTTAAGCAAAGGCATGATTTTTGTCATTTCAAATAAATGAGTAGAAAGAATAGAAAGTTTATTGATTAGAACTAACAAATGATGCATGGTAACAGGGCGGATTGATATTTGGGCCATCACTTTTCGGGCACAAGAAGGTGCTGTCAAATACCTTGTTCCCTATAAAAGGTGCTGTAGTGCTTGAGACATTGGCAACGTTTGGGATCATGTTCTTTTACTTCATATATTGTGTGAAGATAGATATTGTCACAATGCTAAGAACAGAAAGGCAGGCATTGGCTATTGGTATTTCTGTATTCTCAATAACATTAGGAATCCCAACTGGATTCTCCTTTCTGTTGAAGAAATATGTTTCCATGGAGAAGAGCCTCGCAGATTCTCTCACGTTTATAGCAGTCTCACAATCCTTAACTGCTTTTGTTGTCATATCAGTCCTCATGGCAGAGCTTAAAATCCTTAACACTGACGTAGGCCGTCTAACCATGTCTGCAGCAATGTTTGCCGATGTTTTTGGGTTTGCTGCGACAGCAATTATGTTTGCAGTAATGCAAAACTCTGGTGGTAATATCCTGTCAATATTATTTACCCTTCTATCCGTAGTTATGCTCTTCATTGTTATTATATATGTAATGCGGCCAGTGATACTATGGATCTTAGAGCGCTCAAAAGGGAAGCCGGTTGATGAATTACACATTGTTTGTATCTTTGTCTTCGTTCTCATAAGTGGATTTTTAAGTGAATTTGTTGGGCAGCATTTCATAATGGGACCATTAGTTTTGGGATTGGCTGTTCCAGAAGGGCCACCCTTAGGAACAGCTTTGATAACTAAAATGGAGACAGTCTCTGTGGCATTTTTGTATCCAATCTACTTGGCTGTTTGTGGACTGGAAACTGATATCTTCAAAATCAGGACTCGGTCATTGTGGGTTGTGAGTACCATAGTGCTTTGCGCTTGCTTTATGAAGATTGGTGCTGTAATTTTGTCCGGATATTATTACAAAATGCCCTTGAAAGAATCTTGTGTGATTGGGATCCTTCTAAATGCAAGAGGCATAGCAGAGCTTTCACTTTACAATATATGGAGGGCAGGCAAGGTATGTATGTATGTGCATGCCATCGAGAGAGATTTAATAAATTCATTTTCAATGCACCAAATGCAAGTACATAACATATTTGATTGATTAATTAACAATTAACATAATATAAACCTCATTTCTTCTCTTCTCTTCTCTATGCATGGCAGGTAATCACGGGACAAGAGTTCTCTTTGCTGGTCATCTCCATTCTAGTGATAAATGCTATCATATCGCCACTGATAAAATTCTTATATGATCCTTCAGACCAATATCATAACGTAAGAAGATGTTCAATTCAACATACTAAGAGAGAATCCGAGCTTCGAGTCATGGTATGCATTCACAACAATGAAAATATCCCTACAATCATCAACCTCTTAGAAGCATCCTATGCAAGTAGAGAGAGCACCGTTGCAGTTATAGCACTAGTACTTGTAGAGCTTCTTGGAAGAGCAAGGCCTATTCTTGTTGCTCATCAAGCCCATGATACCCTGCGGTCAACCGCATGCAATTCAACTCAAATAGACAATTCCCTGAGACAATATGCACAGCAGAATGAAGGGTGTGCATCAGTTCAGTCTTTCACTTCAGTTTCCCTCTTTGATACAATGCATGACGACGTTTGCCGAATATCACTTGACATGAGAGCAAACCTTTTGATCATGCCATTTCACAAGCGATGGGAAATAGATGGTACCGTTCAGGTAGCCAATAGGGCCATCCAAACCATGAACATTAAAGTTCTAGAAAAAGCACCTTGCTCAGTGGGAATTCTCATTGATAGGGGTATCTTGTGTGGTTCTCAATCACTCTTGATTGCTAGAGCACCATACCGTGTTGCCGTGCTCTTCATTGGTGGTGCAGATGATGCAGAGACACTAGCCTATGGTACTAGGATGGCTAGGCATGAAAATGTGAACGTAACGGTGATTCGGTTCCTTCTATTCGGAGATGAAAACTCTAAAGACAGAAAACGTGACAGTGATATTATAGGTGAATATAGATATTATAATGCTGGAAATCGTCGCTTTGAAATCATGGAAGAAGTGGTCAAAGATGGTATAGAGATGTCATCGTGTGTCAGAAAATTGATAGATTATTTTGATCTAGTAATGGTGGGGAGGGAGCATCCAGAGTCTGTTCTGCTTCGTGGACATGACCAATGGAGTGAATGTCCAGAGCTAGGGGTTATTGGGGATATGATAGGTTCACAGGATTTTGTGACAAAGGCATCGGTGCTGGTGGTGCAACAACAAAGAATAAGAGGGAGGCTTGTTAAACACACTGCGAATCCAATGCCAAATCAAAGAGATCAGCTGGTACACGATGTTCCATTTGATGAAGTATCAAGAGCCTCATGTACAATTTCAGTGGACAGACATGATCAACGAATGTAGATAACACTATATTAGTGAAATTTTTTTATTCTTATCTTTCTTTAATTTCCATCTGCCGAGTTTTCATTTTCAATAAATACGTAATTTAAGCAAATCATGGACTTTCGTTTAAAAATTGAAAGTTGCTTGCGACAATGCATTTAAATCAATAAAAAAATAATTTAAATTCATTCACATGGTTAATCCGTTGTCCACCCTTATAATCCTATAAATAGATGTTCAAACGCCAAACTCAATATCAGATAGTCCAATACAAGACCTCATGATTTTCTTTATCCCATTTTAAAAAAAGAAGCCTGGAGTAGTCATTGACTTATATTGGTTTCACTTTGAGACACCTCTATATTTATTCCTCTTACATTAAGAAAAAAAAAATCTATAACATTCACCAACCTGGAATCATATAAAAAATTATATAATTTAGCTGTAGAAGGAATTAATTGTAAACTGGGATCATTGTCATGGAAAAAAAAAAAAGCTATTCCTTTGTGCCCATTTTACCAGCTTTCCAAGAATGATACAAATTACTAAGAAAATGTCGCAAGGTTATTTTCACCTCATTTATTTTTTTATCTCATCAATGCCGGTTTCTTCTGTTTTGTTGCATAAAATTGCAGCTAGATTCGGAGAATCTGATGTAGGTGACTCTGTCTTTCTAATCAAATTATTTATATGTCGATGAATGATGATTTACGTCAAACTAAATTTTAGTATACAGCAACATTAAGATCACGGATTACAAGACAACCAAAACAAGTTCTGTTTCCATAACAAAACTTCACTTATATGATTTACTGTCTTGCCCCAAAACACGTGCTGACACAATTATAACTCCCCAATACTCATATTTGCATATGACACATGAATGTGAAATTGGCAACTAAAAAAGAGAAAATGAAAAGATGTACTTGATTTATGAGAAGAATTGCAATGTTCAAGCATAAATAAATGAAATCGGCTTACTTAAGATGAGGTTTTGAACATTAAGCGTTGTGAAAATTGATGAAAGCAGAGAGAAGATAAAATGAGAAAAATTAATATTACCTAGGTTCCCCAATAAGAATTGATTGTCCGTGTTACAAAAGATAGCATATTTACAAGAAATGTTTGTGGTACAGTAGCATTATATAACCGAAAGTGTAGTCACAGAACAAGAAAACTCAATTTTCAGAAAGAAAAAATTCTCAAATAATTATCCAGCAGAGAGCCGAGGAAGAAGTAGAAAGGAGGAGAAAATCACAAAATAAGACAAATAGTTATGATTAAACTGAACATTTTTTTCACAATTATTTTTAACAGTGTTCACTAAAGGATCTTAAGTTGCAAGGAGAAAATTAAGTATACTAGATTTTTTCCAATATTTCCTATAATGCCACCCCCCATATTCTTCGAGAACTACCTTAGTGGTCAGACAAACACATCATATGTAACATCCCCGTCTCGAGCCGGTTCAATTAACATGCATATAATACAAACAGAAACAGCGGAAGACTCAACTTACGAAAATACGAGCTAACTTTTTCTTTTTCTATTTTATTTCTTACTCGGCGGAGACAAAAATCGGACAGAGTAACCTCTGTAATTCAGACAACTGGGGATTTTCCAATCCCACTCACAAGAGTTCCTGATAGACAGTTTATACAACATATACATTCAGAAGTACTAGACATCCAAATATAATCATAAACCCATCCATGGACACATGCATAGTTTGGCTCCGGGCTACTAATCTAACAGCATGCAATCCAATACGTAAACATAACTGAATACTGCATAGTCATATCAACATGCTTGAATACCCAAATGTACATGCATCAGACTGACAGACATGTACAAAACATATGCAGGCCATATACGAAGTAAAGGATCAAACATCATGATCCACAAAATACTGAAATACGAAATAACATAAATACACTCCAAAACAGAAGCAGCCTACAGCTACTCCAACTCTGGTCCGTCGAATGCCTTAGCCACGGGTCGCGTCCCTGCCTAGTGAGGACTCACCGAGAAACTGAGAACCTGAAATGATGTTCCCAAGAAGGGGTGAGATAACAAATCTCAATAAGCTCCAGGTTTATAGAGAATTCTCCATACCTCTGGCTCACTCCTGCATGAAAGTCAGATACAGAGTATACAAGTGCAACATATAACAGATATCATAACAGAACAAAGCATATATACATATCTTATCAGAGGCGTGCACCGTCATTTTCAAGGGAGGACCCCAAGCGGAAATCAACGCACGTGTTCCTAAGGGAGGACCCCAAGCGGAACCAGAACATGTCAGAGGTGTACACCATCAATCTCAGGGAATCCCAAGAAGACATCTGTGTACCATACAATCAATACAGAAATCATTTCAGAACAAGTCATATCATGTTATCAAATAACTCTATATGAATGAATCTATACAAAGCATCAAAACAGTCATACAATCCAACCACAGTTCACTAACTATGGTGGAGCACTCAAGCAGGAAAAGACTCCTTAAACATAGAGTTTACCTCTTGAAGCTTTTCAAGTTCGATTACTTGTTGCACAAGTTACTTATATAGCTCCAACAAAAAATCAACCCTTTTCAGTCCCTAGGCACACCTAGAGAAGAATTCAAAACAAAATCAATAAAATGATACTATGCCATGATTCTTACATAAGGCATACATTTTATCGCTTATATTCATTTCTTTATATTTTTGCCAATCTTATGTCAATACACAAGTCTAGACCATTTATAATCGTTAGCATTCTTTAATTTAATCAAGTGTTCACTTGAGAATTTTCAACATAAATCATGCCATTTTTCTTCAAAAGGCCGTGGAGATACCCTTAGGGAATCAAGATATTTTCCAACAATTTTTCAAGCCATTTCACTTCTTAATTCGTCAATTTCGTACAATGAAACACAACACATTTTATTAAAATAAAAAGTAACAAAATCTACCCCTAAACCACCCTATAGGTCAAAATCCACAAAGGAGAAGGCAAAGGGTTCTTCTCTTTTACATTTCATTTTCTTCACTTAATTAACAACTTAACATACATCTATATATCCACAAGGTTCCAATTTAATTTTTTTGGAACATCAAACCCCTCACAAGCACACCATGGCCGAAACCTAGGGACATGACACATAGGATTTTTTTCCACTTTGGCATTCTCACTAATTCATCAAATTTCCATTCACTCCAACACATTAAACCTTCCCAATACATAAGATAAAATTTTGCATCATAAACCCTCTTTAACCCTACAAGGCCAAAATCATAAGGAGCACCACACCATGGATTTTTTTTCCAATTTTACACATACACAAATGCTTATTTAACATTCCTATATCCAACACATCCATAATACATCATCAATTCAACTTTTAAATTAATTTATTTCCCACCTAAAACATGTTCATATTTTTCATGACTTAAAGCATCAAAATAAAACCATGAAAATAGAGGTTTATTACCTCTAATCACTTGTACAAAGCCTAGAGAGCAACCTCCAAGCAAAGCTCCATCAAAACTCTACTTCCTCCTCTTTGATGAATAGTGACACGAAAATGGGGGGAGGAAGAACTTTCTCCACAAGCAAAATCAGCTCAAACTAAGTGGTGGAATAGATTCATTGGGTGGTCTACTATTGATTTCATGTAGTGGACTTTGTGATTTGGTGGAAGATTTAAGGAGAATCAAAGGAAAGAAATTCAAACCCTAACCCACCTTTCCATGATGAACCTCGAGTATGAAGAGAGAGTTTTTGAGTGAATAGTGTTCACTTAAGTGAGTTGGAATTATATGTATAAGTAGCCTTTTTTACCGGTTGTTTTTCTATCGCATATTTTCACTTAAACTAATCCGGAACTAACTTAAAGCTACGAACATATTTTTATTTTTCTGAACTCATTTACATTAATTTTTATTTCCTAAGGAACAATATTCATAATTCACAGTATGGTTTCGGCACCGTTTTTGACGAAATGCACTGTAAATCACTAACTGTACGTCGTTTGCTTACAAAACTTACAACTTATAAACTTATTATTCTTGGGCCTATTTTGACTTGTATGTCATATATTGGACTTTTTTAATCTTATTTCATCAATTATTTGTTTCTGGACTCCACCGGTCGCTTAAACAGCAGTACAAAATACCCGATAGAAAATACTATTCACTAGATTTTCACGGAAAGTGCCAGACTATCCAATTTTTTGTTCTAAATTCATATTTTGCGTCAGAATTATCAAATTATGTCTCTAACATCATTTTACTCATTTTAGCTCTACCGGTTAATTCACAAGAATGCAAATCATCCGACAGAACGCATTGTGCATAACCTAGTCATGATTACAGTCAAAATACTCAAAATCACAGTCTGAATCTAATTATGGCATTTAAATCCTTAAATTAAACCTCTAATTAAGATTTACCAGTTAGGATCATTATAGTTCATGAACTGGTTCTTTAAAAACCAGTTCGGTTCATGAACTGATTTTTAAAAACCGGTTATTTTAAGGAGCTGTTCGATTTGGTTCAGTTTTTTGGTTATTTTGCACGTCCCTATAACTGTGACCTTAGAATCCGTTGATTAGTACCAACTGCGGGATTAACGAGTTTACGAATTGCATACAGAGAATTCGATGAAGCCACAGTTCCTATGCTTGAAATAAATCCGACACTAGCAAGTTTTAGACCACCAAATACAACCGATGCAACTCTATGACTGGGATTCCTGTTTGTCCCTACTGGATTCTTTTGAAATGCATTGTCTGGAATGGAGCCAATAATACCTATTATAGAATCAATGTTGTCAGGCGCATTCATCTCATCGGCATACGAAAGGAATGATAAAGTTGGCGCAGGAAGCCACACTGTAAAGAAATCAACAACTGATCCTCTGACAGTGTCCGTAATAACATAGTCAAGCTCTTGAAAAAAAATTTCTTTCCGCTTTTCATACTGTGCAAATAGTGTAGTTGTTACTGATATTGCTTCTTCTATGGCTAATCTATGCAAGAATTTGGGATCTGCCAGCAATCTTTCACTGAAACCCTGCATTCAAGAAGAACCACATGAGAGGTAAAATATTAAGGGAACAAAGTGATATATTATTGGGAAAACTTCAAAAACCCATCTATCACTTTTTTCATAATTATTTATCCTTTTTTTTTTAATTTTGAATCATTTACTGTGTCATATACCCCCTAAGTGAGGGGGTAAGTGATAAAAAAACTTTAAGTTAGGGTTGTAAATGATAAAAAAAATCTAAATAAGGGTGTAAATGATTCAAAAATTTTGTGAAGGGGTAAGTGATAATTAAGAAAACTCGTTGGGGTTTTTTTTTGAAGTTTTTCCTATATTATTTCCACGATTAAAAAATGGAACACATCATTAGAAACGACAACCACAACCATAAATCATTAATTAATAATGAAGAACAATATTATAATGAAGAATACCAAAACAAGAGAAAAATATGAGTAAAAAAAAGAGCATACCTTGACTTCCAGAAAAGATTAGGATAGATTATGAGACAGTGAAATAGAGAAAACTCAAAAAATTTCATGAGATTAGGGTGAGATTATGAGAGAGACATGTTATTTATACTTCTCACTAAAAAGTATCACAAAATTCACAATAACAGAAAATTCATTAAAATCGTCAGAATTTTGAATATCACAATATTATTTTTCCAAATCCGATTGAATATCATCAGATTTGAACGAACTCTTAAATAATCTTTAAAAATCCTAATTGAATATCATCTGATTTTTTTTAATCTTTTAAAATCTTAATTGAATACCTCTAAATTTTTTTTTGTCTAAAAATAATTCACTAAAATTCTTTAAAATCCCAATCTAATACACTACTTATACGTCATTTATGTCTTGTTTCTCTTAAGTGTCCTCACTTCATAAGTGACCGACCCAGATAGTCTAGCTCAAGTCAGCGTGGCGAAACTTTCGCTTTTTGATAAGCCAACGTACATGAATAATTTTTCAATTTTACATAATTTTGTGGGTTTGCTTAAAGTTCTCTAGTTACTATTTATTTGTATCCTCCAACGTTGTACAAATATAGACTTTCACTTTGCAAGTTAGTGAGCGGCTGCTATCCTTACACGAAGGCCAAACCGTTACATTAAATACATCAAAACCAAAATACAAGGTCAGCCTCTTATTATTCCTTTGTCTCTCTATCTACACTTCAATAGTTTAGATCACTGTTATCCTTCCTTTTTCCTCATCTTCTTCTTCTTCTCCTCAAGGAAAAGTGCTGTCAACAATTAACACAATAAACAAGCTTTATTTTTTCACCCTTCAATTGCTCCTTTACATTCACATACATGGACCCTGTATCTAGAAACATGACAATGATATGCCAAGATCCCCATAGCTCTAATCACAAGGATATCTGGCACTGGGAAAACCCTCTCGATTCCCCCACTCCCGTTCTCTTTATGCAGGTTTCTTTGATTACCATAGTCACACAGTTCATGGATGTTTGTCTCAAGCCCCTAGGACAATCCTCCCTTGTTTCCCAGATTCTTGTAAGCTTTGTCTAAGCTATATATTTTACAAGTGTGTTCAATGACCATCATTGGTGATATTGCTTAAAATGCTATATGGAAATGTAATTCTAGATAGAACACTAACAATTTAAGTAACAACAAACTAGAAGAGAAATTCTTGAAATATTATAATCCAAATAACAATGTTAAGCAAAGGCATGATTTTTGTACGTCATCATTTCAAAAAAATGAGTAGAAAGAATAGAAAGTTTATTGATTAGTTTAGAACTTAACAAATGCATGCATGCATGGTAACAGGGAGGATTGATATTTGGGCCATCACTTTTCGGGCACAAGAAGGTGCTGTCAAATACCTTGTTCCCTAGGAAAGGATCTGTAGTGCTTGAGACATTGGCAACGTTTGGGATCATGTTCTTTTACTTCATATATTGTGTGAAGATAGACATTGCCACAATGCTAAGAACAGAAAGGCAGGAATTGGCTATTGGTCTTTCTGTATTCTTAATAACATTAGGAGTCCCAACTGGATTCTCCTTTCTGTTGAAGAAATATGTTTCCATGGAGAAGAGCCTCGCAGATTCTCTCGTGTTTATAGCAGTCTCACAATCCGTAACTGCTTTTGTTGTCATAGCAGTCCTCATGACAGAGCTTAAAATCCTTAACACTGACATAGGCCGTCTAACCATGTCTGCAGCAACGTTTGCTGATATTTTTGGGTTTGCTGCGACAGCAGTTATGTTTGCAATAATGCAAAACTCTGGTGGTAATATCCTGTCACTATTATTTATCCTTCTATCCGTAGTTATGCTCTTCATTGTTATTATATATGTAATGCGGCCAGTGATACTATGGATCTTAGAGCGCTCAAAAGGGAAGCCGGTTGATGAATTACACATTGTTTGTATCTTTGTCTTCGTTCTCGTAAGTGGACTTCTTAGTGAACTTGTTGGGCAGCATTTCGTACTGGGACCATTAGTTTTAGGGTTGGCTGTTCCAGAAGGACCACCCATAGGAACAGCTTTGATAACTAAAATGGAGACAATCTTTGTGGGATCTTTGTATCCAATCTACTTGGCTGTTTGTGGACTGGAAACTGATATCTTCAAAATCAGGACCAAGTCAATGTGGGTTGTGAGTACCATAGTGCTTGGCGCTTCCTTTATAAAGATTGGTGCTGTAATTTTGCCCGGATATTATTACAAAATGCCCTTGAAAGAATCTTGTGTGATTGGGATCCTTCTAAATGCAAGAGGCATAGCAGAGCTTTCACTTTACAATATATGGAGGGCAGGCAAGGTGTGTATGTATGTGCATGCCATTGAGAGAGATTTAATAAATTCATTTTCAATGCACCAAATGCAAGTACATAACATATTTGATTGATTAATTAACAATTAACATAATATAAACCTCATTTCTTCTCTTCTCTTCTCTATGCATGGAAGCTAATCACGGGACAAGAGTTCTCTTTGCTGGTCATCTCCATTCTAGTGATAAATGCTATCATATCGCCACTGATAAAATTCTTATATGATCCTTCAGAGCAATATCATAACGTAAGAAGATGTTCAATTCAACATACTAAGAGAGAATCCGAGCTTCGAGTCATGGTATGCATTCACAACAATGAAAATATCCCTACAATCATCAACCTCTTAGAAGCATCCTATGCAAGCACAGAGAGCACCGTTGCAGTTATAGCACTAGTACTTGTAGAGCTTCTTGGAAGAGCAAGGCCTATTCTTGTTGCTCATCAACCCCATGATACCCTGCGGTCAACCGCATGCGATTCAACTCAAATAGACAATTCCCTGAGACAATATGCACAGCAGAATGAAGGGTGTGCATCAATTCAGTCTTTCACTTCAGTCTCCCTCTTTGATACAATGCATGACAACGTTTGCCGAATATCACTTGACATGAGAGCCAACATTTTGATCATGCCATTTCACAAGTGATGGGAGATAGATGGTAGCGTTCAGGTAACCAATAGAGTCGTACAAACCATGAACATTAAAGTTCTAGAAAGGGCACCTTGCTCAGTGGGAATCCTCATTGATAGGGGTATCTTGTGTGGTTCTCAATCACTCTTGATTGCTAGAGCACCATACCGTGTTGCAGTGTTCTTCATTGGGGGTGCAGATGATGCAGAGACACTAGCCTATGGTACTAGGATGGCTAGGCATGAAAATGTGAACGTAACAGTGATCCGGTTCCTTCTATTTGGAGATGAAAACTCTAAAGACAGAAAACGTGACAGTGATACTATAGATGAATATAGATATTATAATGCTGGAAATCGTCGCTTTGAAATTATGGAAGAAATGGTCAAAGATGGTATAGAGATGTCATCGTGTGTCAGAAAATTGATAGATTATTTTGATCTAGTAATGGTGGGGAGGGAGCATCCAGAGTCTGTTCTGCTTCGTGGACATGACCAATGGAGCGAATGTCCAGAGCTAGGGGTTATTGGGGATATGATAGGTTCACAGGATTTTGTGACAAAGGCATCAGTGCTGGTGGTGCAACAACAAAGAATAAGAGGGAGGCTTGTTAAACACACTGCGAATCCAATGCCAAATCAAAGAGATCAGCTGGTACACAATGTTCCATTTGATGAAGTATCAAGAGCCTCATGTACAATTTCGGTGGATAGACATGATCAGCGAATGTAGTTAACACTATATTAGTGCAAATTTTCTATTCTTATCTTTCTTTAATTTTCTTCTACCGAGTTTTCATTGTCAATAAATACGTGATTTAAGCAAATCATGGACTTTCGTTTAAAAATTGAAGTTGCTTGCGACAAAGCATTTAAATCAAGAAAAATAAATAAATTAAATTCATCACATGGTTAATCCATTGTCCACCCTTATAATCCTATAAATACATGTTTAAACGCCAAACTCAATATCAGATGGTCCAATACAAGAGCTCATGATTTTCTTTATCCCATTTTAAAAAAAGAAGGTTACCAAGAGATATCCCTTTAACCAAGAGTAGTCATTGACTTATATTGGTTTCACTTTGAGACACCTCTATATTTATTCCTCTTACATTAAAAAGAAAAAAACCTATAACATTCACCAAACTGGGATCATACAAAAAATTATACAATTTAGCTGTAGAAGGAATTGTAAACTGGGATCATTATCATGGGAAAAAAAAAGCCATTCCTTTGTGCCCATTTTACCAGCTTTCCAAGAATGATACAACTTACTAAGAAAATGTCGCAAGGGTATTTTCACCTCATTTATTTTTTTATCTCATCAATGCCGGTTTCTTCTGTTTTGTTGCATAAAATTGCAGCTTGATTCGGAGAATCTGATGTAGGTGACTCTGTCTTTCTAACTTGCAGTCCGGTAAAGCGTGCAAGGTCAATCCATTGCTGCAGCAATATACGGGAAAACATTTTAAAAATCCTAATCAAATTATTTATATGTCGATGCATGATGATTTACGTCAAACTAAATTTTAGTATACAGTAACATTAAGATCACGGATTACAAGACAACCAAAACAAGTTCTCTTTTCATAACAAAACTTCACTTATATGATTTACTGTCTTGCACCAAAACACGTGCTGACACAATTATAACTCCCCAAAACTCATATTTGCATATGACACTTGAATGTGAAATTGGCAACTAAAAAAGAGAAAATGAAAAGATGTACTTGATTTATGAGAAGAATTGTAGTGTTCAAGCATAAATAAATGAAATCGGCTTACTTAAGATGCGGTTTTGAACATTAAGCGTTGTGAAAATTGATGAAAGCAGAGAGAAGATAAAATGAGAAAAATTAATATTACCTGGGTTCCCCAATAAGAATTGATTGTCCGTGTTACAAAAGATAGCATATTTACAAGAAATGTTTGGGAAGAAAACTGGTCAGAAATCCGATGCTCCACTATCCCAGCAATTATCTGGATACAAAAAATATTGTACCTTCAGAATTAATAGAGGGGCAGAAATGCAGACCTTAACTGGATGCGAATTTGTGGTACAGTATCATTATATAAGCGAAAGTATAGTCACAGAACAAGAAAACTCAATTTTCAGAGAGAAGAAATTCTCAAATAATTATCCAGCAGTGTCGAGGAAGAAGTAGAAAGGAGGAGAAAATCACAAAACAAGACAAATAGTTATGATTAAACTGAACATATTTTTCACAATAATTTTTAACAGTATCCAGTGTTCGCTAAAGGATCTTAAGTTGCAAGGAGAAAATTAAGCATACTAGATTTTTTCCAATATTTCCTATAATGCCACCCCCCATCTTCTTCAAGAACTACCTTAGTGGTCAGACAAACACATCATCACTAGTTATTCAAGACACAGGTGGTCAAGTCCTGCTTTCAAACGTCAATAAACTCAAATTTCTAATTGTTTTCGTTGTCCAGCTTCAATAATCATATATTGGAAAATATTCAAGACATCACAGCAACTATTGAAACATAAACAAACAACGTGACAACATAGATGCCATTTCCTACAAAAACTAGGTCCAATCTTCCTTGATGTCTTTTTTAAGCATTAGTTAAAACTAAAATTTTAATGCAGCAAAAGTTCTCTATATACCTGATAACGGAGATTTGCAGATATTCCAAGAAAGCATGCATAAACAATTGCTGTTTTGAGTATTGGTGACCTTAGAATCCGTTGATTAGTACCAACTGCTGGATTAACGAGTTTACGAATTGCATATAGAGAATTCGATGAAGCCACAGTTCCTATGCTTGAAATAAATCCAACACTAGCAAGTTTTAGACCACCAAATACAACCGATGCAACTCTATGATTGAGATTCCAGTTTGTCCCTACTGGATTCTTTTGAAATGCATTGTCTGGAATGGAGCCAAGAAGACCTATTATAGAATCAATGTTGTCAGGCGCATTCATCTCATTGGCATACGAAAGGAATGATAAAGTTGGTGCAGGAAGCCACACTGTAAAGAAATCAACAACTGATCCTCTGACAGTGTCCGTAATAACATAGTCAAGCTCTTGAAAAAAAATTTCTTTCCGCTTTTCATACTGTGCAAATAGTGTAGTTGTTACTGATATTGCTTCTTCTATGGCTAATCTATGCAAGAATTTGGGATCTGCCAGCAATCTTTCCCTGAAACCCTGCATTCAAGAAGAACCACAAATGAGAGGTAAAATATAAAGGGAACAAAGTGATAAATTATTTCCACGACTAAAAACAAAGTAATGGGTTTCATTATCAAATAAAAATATACCTGGAATCGGTGGGTGAGTTCTGAAATCAGAGGATACTGCTCCAGATCAAAGAAGTTCTGTAATACCTCAGGTGATACTAAACCAAGATCAATTCCCTTTTGAAGATCCTGAAACCGAAAGGAAAGTATTATCTATGTATGATAATGTCACAATCAATACTAGCATACCCTATCCCATCTAAATGATGATCAAATAAAATGTAAACAGGTGCACAGAAAAAAAAGAACTAGAAACGCACCAACTACCTAATCATCAAATGAAAGTATGGAACCAATGTAAACTTGGTAAACAGTTGGGATCCATCTATGCCAAATTATAGAATAGAGGTAATTTTTTTTAGAAATAACAGATAAGAACTTCATTATCACAATTTACCAATGAGTTTTCAATTCCTTAAATCATATATTGTTGTGCAAAAATCTGAACTCAAAAGGAATATGAATATAAAGGAAAAGAAGGTAGAACGAAGAGAAAGCAATATGAAATGGTAATGGTAAGTGTTCAAGTGACATCCCCCACAACAGTACGTTGAGCTGCATAATTTGTGTCAATTAATAAAATACCGAACAGAGATATTAATTAAAGGGATAAATGATTATGGAATACCAAAGATATATATTGCATACAAAGAAAATAATCCAATAAGGTACTGATATGAGATACATAGTATCATGCAAAATAGTATTGATATGACACACCCAGTAACATGCAAAATCTCTCAAGCTTGTATCATCAAAATGGACAATGGAAGAACATAAAGGGCTAAAATTTGAAAGGGGGATCGACAGAGAAAGAAAAGTAATGTTCGAGCAAATAAGTGAATGTAATGGCTGACTAACCTGTGGGAGGGCATCTCGCCTCCGCCCAGCAGCATTCATAACCCGAGCAATCTCAGCACGGTCAAAGCAATTTCTACTACAAGGTCTGGCAGCAGAATACCACAAAAAATCAGCAACTGGAACTTCTCCCTCTTTGCGAATGAATTGTCTTTCAGGGTCAAGTAATATAACTATTTGGTTTTTCTTTTGTATTTTTCCTGAAATTCTTGCTGGCACTCCAGTTCCTCTAGATCCATATGTAACATGGCTTGCACCCGTCACAACTATTAACATACCGGCGGCTCCTCCATCAAGCACATTTTTTAAGATGATCTGGGACATAGTATACTCCTCAACTACTCTAGCCTGTGCAGATAGATATGAGCTAGGACCAAAAGGAATAGACAGATTTGAAGTACTATCAACTAATGATCTTCTTGACGTAGAAGTAAAGCCTGATATGAAGCCTGAACCAGCTGGAGGGGCATAAACTTTACGATCAGCCTTTGAAAGCGCTCGAATTCCTTCTGCTTGGACAGTCCTTAAGATCTGTTGATGAAAAACCATCAAGTCTTAATTATTATCATCTTTGTGTATGTTGACCTAAGGATGCAAGAACTAAGCCTAATCCTACCAGGTGGAGTTGGCTACATGGATCAATTGACACCATTTGGCTCTATCAAAAACCAAAATTTCAGTAAAACATCTAATGCAAGGTCTATTTAATACTCCTAAAGTTTTCTCAGGTCATCCTCTACCCTCTCAACAGACTATCTTCCCTTCTTCTCATATCATAATATGACCAAACCGCCTGTGGCAAGCTTCCATAATCTTCTCTTCAGTAAAAAAAAAAAAGGTTTTATCAAACATTTTGTTTAATTTGGGAACCTAGAGTATTATGAATTAATTTCTAAGTCTTCTCTAGATTATGTTTCTCTTGTCATAAACTCATGATGCAATCAAAATCCATGGGGGCTACTGGCATATAGCATTGAGTGTCTAATACAGTAATATTTTTCACTTGCTCTTAGTTTAGATACCACCAAAAATTTCAGAGACAAAATGAACATTTGAAAGATCTACATCTGTTTGGATGAAAATTTAAGCGCACCATCAGTGGAGTACCACAAGCAACAAGATGAATTCCATTTTCGCGACAGTAACTGAGAATAGGTTCATACTCCTGCCATCGTTGAGGGGGCCAATGCGATGTATAAGACTTTAAGGTTTCTCCATCTATCCTGCCATGAAAGTCCAGTTTCAGTATAAGTAATGCAGAATCATGGTAAGCAATCTAACCAAGTTAAAAACAGACATAGATTAACAGAAAAATAGTAAACCGGGAAAAAAAAGAAAGACAGAAATCGGTCGCCATATATTTTAAATAACATGTTCTCTTTTATAATTGATGATTGAATTCTCATTTCTTAAATTCTGTAACATAGTTTTCTGCAAAATAAAAACGAGTGCTTCAAACGCCAGTAATTTAGCCCATGTGGCATAGCTCTAAGACTTGTTATTCACTTCATATGGAAACACATTCATAATCATATAACTTGAAGATTCTTCTTCAAGCCCGCAATTGCTATTAATATAACAGTATACCACCTTCAGTTTCTATGTTGATAATCACCTCCAATTTACTTTGTTCATGTCATCAAAAAAAAAAAAAAACAATTTTTAAACATTCATCAGCTAACTAAACATTCATCAAACTTTGCAAACTCAAAGGCATACTTTTTATCCATATACTGATTGAGTTGTTCCTGAAGATTAGAGGGAAATGATTCAAGAGCCAAAGACAATCGCTTCTCCTTCTCCACACACCGCATGTGCAAATTCTTCACAATCTCAAGCTCCAATTCCTTATCATCTCGAACTGGAACCTGCTCAGCTTCCCCCAAATAAACCACTCGAGCATTCATCAGCTTCTCCCACACTTTCCCTTTCTCCTTCCCTATCGCCAACGGTTCCCCTATCGCCGTCGCGTCGTAAATCCTCGACGTTATCACTTCCTCCTCCTTCTTCTTCTGCTCCTCCGGCTTCAAAGCCGTCAAATTCGCCGCCGCCGTCGAAGGCGTCTCAGCCTCCTTCTCCTCCGCTCTTGTCCCCGCCGCGGACAGCAGAACAGACGCGCCCATGGCCAGAAGCGGTGCGAGCAACACGCCTCGCCGCGTTGGCTCCACGCGTTCAACCGAGTTTTCCCTCACGTCGGAGTCTTCGGATTTTGATACCGCGATAAGGCGAATCGAGCGGCGGGCGGATAAGTTGACGCGGCGGCGTTTCGCTGTAAAAAAGCGCCGGAATTCGTGGTCGCCGGCGTCATGTGGCGGCAGATGAAGTGTCTCCCACGGCGCAGCACGTGAGCCAGCGGCGCGGCGATAGTAAGTCACGTGCGGCGGTCCAGTGGCAAAGGAAGCCTGAGTGTGGGGCTTCATCTCCCTTCAATGGGACCTCGTCGTGAAACAAATGTTCAATCTCACTTTTCATTCAGTGGTGACACAATCTAGTATTCGTTGATTTTAAGCCTTAAAAGTTTGTATTATGATGTTTTTTTTTTTTCTCGCTCATAAAATCCGGATAAAAAAGGATACCATTGTGTATGTTCAACAAATTATTATTTTTCATGGTCACAATAAATTTAAATGATATTGATAATTTAATGCTTTTGTCACGAAAATTGCCGAAAGCCTCAAATTTTGGACTGCTACGTGAACCATCCATGTCCATACAGATACAGGTGCCAAGTGGGATTCATTTATTGGAATTTTCTTCTAAGATAAATATGATCCTAGTCAGATGTGACTCGGGCCTGAAAAGCACAAGACAAACTGACCATAAAAAGAATATTTGAAAACCAGATCCGTATTTTCACATAAATTCCAAAACAATGATTTGAAAAATTTATCAATTTAGTTGTAAGTTAAATTAATTGAAACAATTGAGTTATGATTTCAAAATCTTATCAATTTAATTTCCTTTTTAACTTTTTTAAACATTGGTGGAGGATCATGATGAGTTGATGAGTTACGAGGGTAATAATAATATCAAGGAATCACTCATCTTTTGTGTTTGAAAATCTTGTGTGCAATATTGTATTTTTGCTGCAAGTTTTTTATTAGATGAAAATGAATACTCCGGTATATTAAATTGCGCTTTTTTATGAATATCTTATCAATTGTCATAAGCAACATAATAATAACATACACGATAAAAAGAAGAAGAGAAAAACAATATACATAATGAATTTAATGTTTTTGTTTTTGCTACATGAATTTTTTTTTGCCACACATTCACATAAAAATCATATTATAAAGAAAAGAGAAAGAAAATATTAGTGAGGTCACTCATTTTTATATGAATGTAGTAGGAATTTTTTTTTATTTTTCCCATACATAATTTATCAAGATTCACTTATCTCCTCGTTATATCCTTCTCATTACATTTATTACAAACACTCAATTATAAGAGAATATATATAACTTAAAAAAATTATAAACCGTAGTAATTATTTATGGACTCAAATGCAAATTACTAAATAAATGATATTGCAAAAATAAATCTGGGACCCAAAGTACTACAAGACCTCTACAACTGAAACTCCCGGTGATTTTATCTTCATTAGGGCACATAAGTCGTCCACTTGGTATAAAATGGGGAAAAAATTTTAGTAGTCCTGCAAAAAATTTAACATGCTCCAGGCTGTGGTCCTTTTTCTATAAATAGAAATTTTTCTTTTTTTTTTATTCTTTTTTTTTTTTCTCCCTTCATCCCTTATTTTTTTCTATTTTTGGGAGGGATCACCATAGTTCCGTCTCACAAAAAATCTTCTCGTAATCCTGACCCCATGTGTTCCTCCTTCCATTGAGAAATTGACATTTGTATAAGTTTTTTTTTATTCTCTTTTCTCTTTTATTTTATGATTTGTTATATTTTTATTAATTTGGACCACTTAAAATTTCTTGCTGCACCAAAACTCTTCTCACAAAATAGATATCATACTCAACAACTCTAACAAGGAACATTATTGTTATTTATTTTATTTTTAAAAAGAAAACAACAATAAAACGTTCGTTAACAGGGAGTGGTGAATCTGGTGATGAATGGGGGGCATTATATTACTCTTACTATTAATTTAGGGACTTATTAATTTTATATTGATTTTATATTGTTGGAAATTTCATGTCACTACACAAATAAATATATAAGTTCTTTTAATTTTATTTATTTATTTATAAAACATATTTATTTCTATGACATAAGATAAAGATATCTTCAACAGTACATAGAAAATGTTTTCCTATTAATTTAAAAGAAAATACAAAAAAATAAAGTTTCACTTGTTAATTTATAGTTTTTTATTTTCTATTTTTTGGTCTCACAAAATGCTTTAAGGAGGTGTTTGGTACGCGGAATTCTTTGGGATTTCCGGCAAACTGAATTTTTCTAATTTTTTAATTTTTGAATATTATCATAAACTAAATGCAAAAATTATATTTTTAAAAATTGAGATTCCGAGATAAATAAAAATTTCTCCAGTATCAAACGCCCCCTGACATTCTCCACATCTATAGTATAGTATGATAAATCACGCTGCGAGGTCACTGCAAATTCAACTCTGCTTCAAGGTCCTCGTGACAGAGTTTCATGGGGTCCCCTGCATGGAAACATTTCTCCATGTCTGTTAGTATAGCTATTCGATTAGTTATGAAGTTTGTTTTTAATTAGTTGCAACAGTTTAATCGCGTGTCCTACGTGGCATTAGCTATCCTCATCATATATACATGTAAACTAAGCTGTGAGGTAGTGTTTGGTTGGGGAGAAGTCAATATTTTCTTAGCAAAGTGAGAACGGGATTGTTCCTTCTCCACGTTTGGTTGGGGGATTTGGTCTCAATTGCCCATCAATGATGTTTGTCTAGCAATCGATGATAACAAATGAAATCCGGATTTCAACAGTATTTAAAAAGCCTTTGTGAAGGTGGTATTGCCCGTAGAAACCGGATAACTGAAAAATGGGATGAAGAGTTGAGGGTTGACAAGTTTACCCCTCCAATCTTAACCACACGTGAGTTGAGGGTTGAGAGTTTCATCACTCATTTTGACAGCCACAATCGAAGTAAAGGTGTGGTCCGTCTACAACCCAAATCGAAGTATGACAACTGAAACCAGTATGGGTCTGATCGGATGTCAGATAATGGTAATGAAACTGAGTTTTGGAGTGTGCTGCATGGTATGAGCTCAACCATCGTGGAAAGATGTGACAGGGAAGACATGGGTGCATGCCTGATATATGGCCTGGTCAGATTCCCTCTAGTTCTGCTTTCAACTAGCTATGGGAACACTGCTGCTTGGGCTGCTTGAAGTTCAAAGTCTGTGGTTATTTTTTGTATTTTGTGTTAGGTAACATTTTAGTTGTAGGTTAAGTTTAAAGGGTCAATCTGCTGATCATGGTTGATGTAACTCGAAGTAGTTTTGTTCATGTAATTATCCCAAGTGTGTCTGACTTGAAACTTGCACTACAGTAATAAAATTATCAGTTTCCCATGTCCTGATGAATTTACCATTCAAACCCAGAGCCAAAACTGGGCTGAAAGCACATAACTAGCATGCCCTTATTAGCATTGAAACACTTATTCGCAGAACTCATCAATTACATATAACTTGATACTAATTTTGAAAACCATACAGAATGCTGATGTTAGTGACTATTGTATTAACATATTAGCATGACCTGAAGACAGATTTATAACATATAATTGCATAAAAATTATAATAAAAAGAAACAAGGTAACATAGAAGTTTAAATGCATTTTAGCTTTGTAACTTTGTAGGGTAATGGATCTTTTTCCCTATCATGACAGCATGTAGGTCGAAACTGTGTTCTGTTAAGATGCTTTCATGCTCTTATGAGTATTGTGAATTCGATCTAATGCCATGCTACCAAAGTTTGTGAGCATCCCCTTCTGCCATTTTACAATACCAGTTAGATATCTTTAATCTGATGCATTGCATGTTTCCTTATGTTTAAATACTTCAATAAGCATATATCAGAAACTTGTACAGCCCAAACCATCATCATAGACAAAAATTCTGACAGTGATTAGCAAAACTATGAATAGCATGCTGATGATGATAAAAGACTGGTTTTATTTATTTAGGGAACTTCTATTCTATTATGGTGTTCCTTCATTCGATAGTTTTCCCTGCCCATGGTGAATGAAAGAAGCACTTTTTGTTCTCAGAGGTCCATTCCTAATTGCTACAACATATATTACCCACCAAAATTAAGTCACGTACATTACAAGGATTCTCAAGTCTAGGTAGTTAATTTTTTTTTTATTGATTGTTTACTGATTAAAAATATGAAGCAAGTCAATGAAATCAACTAACCATTACTAAAACTCAAACATAATAAAGAACTTAATCAGTTTATCTCACATTTTTTATATACAGTCATCTCCTTACGAAGTTGATTTTCCACATAGGCCACAGATCTCTCTTCCTCCTCATTGTTGGAAATTTAATTCCTCTAATATCAAACTTTTAATAATAAACAAAACAAGTGTTACAACGTTATGACTAATTCTTTCTCAAACTCTCTCTTGTTCCTCTAACAGTATTTCAATACTATTTTTCTCACGTACTCATCTCAAGTACTCTCTCTATTTTTCATCTCAAGTGCTGCGGCACTTTCTCTTCTTTCTTTCTTTTAAGTGTTGCTGCCTTTCTACACACATATGCTAAACAATCACAACATACATATATATATATAGTTTTTAGCAACCGACTTTTTCTTAATATAATATTCTAAATCTTGCTAATAGTCATATAAGATGACAACCGACTTTGAGTTATCTTTTGCTACAACTTTCTATAACTTTCATTCTTTATTATTAAATTGTTTGTCGGTAATCCATCAAGAATGGCGCAGGCTCTTCTAGGAGATGATAGAAGTCTTGTAGATTCTTCTCCTAGGGCGGTTGTAGCTTCCACATGATCCTAGCTTGGCGGTGAATGATGTTGCAAAGCTAAATTTGATTTCTAACACTCATCGCCTCCTATAAGTTCCTGAGTACTAACACTACTTCCTCTGTTCTTACTTGTATCAACCATGTTTTCCATAATGGTGTATACATGGTCAGAGGAATCTGCACCTGGCAACGACTCTGCAATGATCCACTGTGTACAAAAAGGACAGCCATGAGTAGTTAGTTCCATCTACAGTAGAAGAGTCAATTGGCTTGTCTCGTATTTTAATGTGTATTTTTTTGGTTTTTCATACTCCTTCTTCATCACTACTGCTACCATCGTCAGCAGCTCCATACATGGATTTTTTAAATTCTTCTTCCGCTTTAGCCTGTTCATCAGCCGAGGAACTAGCAAGCTTTTTGTTAAGGCTTTGCAGACCCATTAATGAATCACCTTTGGGATAACCTACCACATTCGACTGATTAGATATGGATTTATACAATGCACAACACCTGCGTTATCTCCAACCTTGGGGGTATC